AAAGTAACACTCCACCTTGTAGATCCAGCCATGGCCGTCTTCCCCCTCGAAAACGGGCCTCTTCAATTTCCTCACCTTGGGATCTGCCCGGTATCCTCCATAGCCTCCCATTCCTCCAGAGGAGGCGCTCCCCATATGTCCCGATCGTCCCTCCGACGATTATACTCGAACCCCTCTTCATACTCTCCTCTCCTTCCTTCAACATCATCACCTCGACGCTGAATACCTTCAAATTCAGCACCTCGACGCTGAATACCTTCAAATTCAGCACCTCGACGATGACGTTCCTCCCTTCTTCCTTCAAAATCCCCCCCTCGACGCTGAACTCTTTCGAATTCAGCACCTCGGCGATGAGATCCCTCTCTCCTCCCACCAAAATCAGCCCCCCTTCTGTCATATCCTATACTCATCTCTTCCCTAGAAAAAGGTTCTAGAGGAGGCATGTCGTTCTTTTCCTCTAGGATTTCCACCTCCGATTTCTCCTCCCCGCAAGGGGTTCGGATTTCCTCTCATGCCATGGCCGTCAGCGGTCTCTCTCACTTCCGATGTCGCCGGATTAGTCTTCATTTCAGGTAGTTTCTTCATCATTTCTTCCATCGCGGTGAACTTCCCCTCCAACCTTTCATTGTTGGAGGTGATTTGATTTTGAAAGTTGAAGAATCTTTCCTCCAAATCGGATTTCAATTGTCCGACTTCGCCTTCTAAGACGTCAACCTTCTTTCCGGCCATCGTTCTTCCCAACGGATCTAAAAAAAATCACTTCCGGAAGCCAAAAGCTCGTTGAAAATAGGGATTTCAGCCGCCTAAGGTCCCCAATCGAGGCTCTGATACCAATTTGATAGGTAATACTTACATGCACAAGTAAACCTAACCCAAACCAAGTATCTAAACCACGCAAACGGCTGTCCACAGCAGAAAACAGCCCAAAACAGTGATAAATCTGAGAGAAAATAGAGAGATATCCGTAGAAAATCAAAGCAAACACTTATATTTCCCTAATGGATGAAAAGCACTTGCAAGATACAATTTTCCTTCAATTCGAGAGGAAGGAAAAACTCTCCACTATCTCTGGCACGCCAAGAGCCAAGACAAACCCTAGATCTCAAAGAGAAAATTCAAATTCAAGATAATCCCCCCTTTTCCTCCTAACCTTCTAATTAACCATAAAGGAGTTTTACAAATTGTCTAAACAGTCCCTCACATTCAAAATTTCCCTCCCAAAACTCCTCCTTGGCCCCCTGTTGGTTCCTCCTGTGCCGCTCGGTTCTGCCTCGAGTAGGTGAGGACCGGTCCAGCCGGCCCCTACTGGGCCAGCCTAACAGAAGGATGGGTAGCAACCGAAGGTGTAGTGGGGGTAGTGGTAGTTGAGGTGGTGGGTGAATGATTTGCAGAGGCTGGTGGCTATGAGAAATAGGTAAGTGGATGGGTGTAGGTGTAGGTGTAGATGTAGGAAGAGTGAAGAGTGGTTAAGGGTGAGAGGAGAAGGTGAGGATGGTGAACTAGAAGGTGCTTGATGTGGGGAAGGCTTGGAGAATGGAAAAATGTGTTCATGAAAGATAACATGGCGGGAGATATGAATGCGGACAAGTAAATTATAACAACGATAGACATTGTGGGAAGTTGAGTAGCCTAAGAAGATACATTTAGTGGAGCAAAGAAACAATTTATTAGAAGCAAGAGGTGCTAGCCGTGGAAAACATAGACATCCAAATGTCTTAAGATGATCATAGGAGGCTGATTTGTGGTGGAGGAGGTTATAAGGAGCTCGAAGTTGAAGAGCTTTGGAGGGTAGACGATTGATTAAGTATTTTGCGGTGGAAAGAGCTTCAACCCAGAATTTAATGGGTAGATGAGCAACATGTAGAAGAGTGCGAGTGGTTTCCAGCAGATGTCTATGCTTATGTTCAGCAAGACTGTTTGTTCTGGAGTGTATGGACAGCTTAGTTGATGAGTGATACCGTGTTTGAACATAAATTGTTGAAAATTGTGGAAGAGACATTCGGCACCTGAATCTGATCGAAGAGTTTTGATTTTTTCATCGAAAGAATTTTCAATCATAAAGGTAAAATGCTAAAATTTAACATAAGTTTCTGCTTTTGTATGCATGGGAAATAAGCAACATAAGCGAGTGAAGTCATCAATAAACATAACATAGTATTTATATCCATGAAACAACATAATCGATGTCGGACCCAATACATCAGTATGTAGAAGATCAAAATGTTTGGATCTACAAACAGAACATTGTGAAAAAGGTAACTTGTGGCTTTTTGCCACATTACAAGAGGTGCATATAAATGAATTAGAAGAAATACATAGATGCAGTTGCAATTTAGCCATGGTCTCTAAGATAAGTTGATGTGGATGACCAAAGAGAGCATTCCAAGTGGAAACAGAGGTGGGCCGTAAGTGTAGAGCGGTAATGTATGATGGTCCGTCGGATGGAAGTGGACCATTATAACTGCAATCTTGGAGGAGGACATAATTGGTCAATTGATCTTTTTTTAAAACCAAAAGCATCAAAAGAAATAGAATAATGATTATCAGATGTTAGTTTATGTATTGAAAGAAGATTGTGGGTTAGTCCATGAACATGAAGTAGATTGTGAAGATGAAGCTTACGGTTAGAGACTCGTGTTGGTAAAAGTCCTTAGCATATGTGTTGAATAGGCAAGGAAGAACCATTTGCAATGAAAATGGAGTCAGGACCTTCAAACTTCAGAGGATGTTGGAGCTAAGATATATCTGCTGCAAGATGCGATGAAGCAGCTGAATCAAGATGCCAGTCAGGGTTTGAAGATTGCTGCTGTTGTGTAAAGAGTCTTGTTGTAGAAGAAATAGGAGGTTGATACTCCAGGTTTGTTCTATGCCAACACTTGAAAGCTGAGTGTCCCACTTTATGGCAGATTTGACCAATGCTTTAATATTAGAGAGATATTGAGTCGTGGTCATCGCCTCTACAGTGATTAGAACGTTGAAATCGCCTCTCAAGAGTGTTCCAGATGTCATGTGTGGTTTGCAAGTTGATAATATAGGGATGTATGGAGGGTGATTAGCTTACTTGAGATCTATTAAGATTAAACCGTTGGTTGTAAACATCTTAAGAATCTATAGTTTCCAAATTGGAAAATTATCATTGGTAAGCTAAACATTGACAATGTTCTTAAGGTTGGTCATCAAGAATTTGAGAAAAGCAGGAATGATCGAGTCTGCCATGAAAAGAGTGGTGACCAAAACAAGTAATTGAGGTTTCGTTTGGTACGACTTTTTTACTGTTTTTTTAAGCAGATTTCTAATACAAAAATTATAATATATGTATTAAAAAGCTACTTTAAGAAGCAAAAAAAAGCCGTCCCAAACGAAGCCTGAGTGGAAGAAGTGCTGTCGTTATACATAGCAAGAGATGGAGAGAAAGAAGCAGCTTTTAAGCATGTCTCTGATACCATGAGAGAAAATTGAAATATTGAATTGCTGAAAGTAATAGATATAGAGGAGGATACTTTTTCATTTATTTACAAGTGATTCTATACAAGTATATTTAAGGTGAAAAAGTTATAACAGCATTTTTTGTATAAGTGAAGATGCAGCATATTGAAACTACAATTGTGGGCTGCAGCTTACTGAAACTGCAATATGCAGTTTTGCCTGCTTAGAGCATCTCCAACGGAGAACTCCATTTTTTCACGGTAAAATACAACAAAATTTCAAAATGGTGTGGTGCTGTTCCAATCGAACGTTATTTTATGTGCTTCTGCGAAGGTAACGATCCTTCTCCCTTTCACGCGTTTTTTCAGTTGAGAGAGCAAAATAACGTAGGTGAACAGTGCAACGTCAATATTGGCGTCGCACTGTTCACCCGCAAGTAAATGGCGGAAGGTTTGACGTTAGGCTGGTGCGACGTAACGACGTCATACGCTCGTTTGTCGTTCGGTTGGAGATAGCTCTTAGAATGGGTTACTAACACCTTCCTCCCTTCTTCCTATAAATTTTTAAATGCTCTCCCCCCCAAAATTTTAAATATGTGCATAATTAACGTCTAAATTTTTTTTCTTTATTATTTTTTCTACACTATCCTTTTTTTTATAACAATTTAGTGATTAAATTAAATAAAAATATATGCATGAAGATGTGAAATCTAATTGCTAGGTTGTTTTGTGTATATAAATATAAGATTTTAAGTGTTTAATCTGTAAATAAATAATAATTAATTGATGAGTATGTAAATGCTCATAAAGTTTTGGCTATGTAGAATATCTTAATATTAATATTCATAATTGATGAAAAAAAATCATAATATTGATAATAATAGATAGAAAATCATTCTTTCAGATGTAAAATTTAGATTAGATTAATTATATTTAATCTATAACATTTTATCTTGAAAATGAGACTTTAAATAAAATTAAGGTTTTATTTATGATTGTTTTTCTCATCATTTTTTTGTTGTTTTAAAGATGTTTGGTAATAAAAAGTTGTTCCACATGAAGCCTAAGGTTTTATTTGGGATAATTTTTTAGTGCTTTTTAAAATAATATTTTATATATTGATAAAAGAAAAAAGAAATAGATGTTATATTAGGCAGTGGTACCCACCATCTAACTTATGGATGCTAGAAATATTTCTTTTAGTGGTTAAAAACTAAGTTTGGTAAGCTTATCATTTCTATGTCTAAATCCATCCTTTATACATTAGTTTCACTAATTTAAATATTTATATAATCTTGGGATAATTTTTTTTACTATTTTTTAAAAAAATTCTGTACAAAATATTTTAAAAGTAGTGAAAAAAATAGTGGCAAAATATTTTTGAAGTGAAGTCTAGTTTTTATTTGAGTTTTTTTTTTTTTTTTTTAACTATTTTTTATGATTTAAAAAACCTATAAAAATGATATCTTTGCATGTAAAAATTTAACAAATTTATCTAAGAAAATCTTTTTTTTCAAAAATTAGTATGGAAACTAAGTTCTCTCAACCAATAATATATAAGTATAAATAATTCCAAATAACATTATATACATCTTAGAAATTACAAAAACATAGAGCTTAATATCTCTACATGTCAAAAGCCATTATATCTGCCTGAAAAATGCCATCATAGAATCATATACTACTTGCTTTGCAGAGACTCCCATTATGAAATCAGCATGAGCAAAGTTCTGTACATAATGAAGAACTAATTGATCAGTTTCATGCAGCTTTAGATCCTGAAGCAAATGCTCCACATCTTCTGTATCAGACAGAGAGTCTCTCCCACCATAGCTTAGGTAAAGTGGCAGACTGTTGGGAATATTTGATAAATTGTATACAGGAGGTGTGCTCTGACCATATCTTTGTATGTTATTAACACCATAGTTATATTTTGTTAGGGCTCCATCCCTGAATGCTGCAAATTCATCCAGAAAAAATTGAAATCTGTAAATTATATTTGAAAATTTGATGAAAACTTGATATGAATTTAGCTTATAAATGATTAAATATTTGATATTTTTATATGGACGGTGAAAGTTCTATAAGAAGGTGGTGAGACCTGCAATGTTTTATGGCGTAGACTGTCGGCCCTCAAAAGAAAAGCATAAAATTATGTCAAGTGTTGAAGAGAAGAGGATGCTCAGGTGGATTAGTGGCTTTACACTTAGAGACGGAATGCCAAACGAGTATATACGTGAAAATGTTGAAGTAGGCTTAGATTTATGGTTTGGTCACACAAATTGTCAGCCTTCTGATGACTCAGTTAGTAAAGTGGATGTATTAGGTCTGATTTATATTAAGAAAGATAGAGGTAGACTTAAAAAGACTTCGTTAGAAAGTATTAGAAATAATCATTGTTTATTAGATTTAAATGAGAATTTGAATTTTATCAGGAAATACTATAAATAAAAATGATTCATTTTGCTGTTCTCATGTAATGAGATAAAGACTTAGATATTGTTGTTGTTGTATATGAATTAAATTCAATTCTCTTATAGTAAAATTAATGGCTTACTTTGTGCTAAATGTACCATATTTTTGGTTGATGTTGGCTGTGGTTCATACTGGAGGAATAATTGAACTGTTGAGCCATTAAGACAACAGTTGTTACCTGTGAAATCACATTCAAGGAATAAATAATCTAATTAATTACAGAAAAAAATCATTTAATATTGCAAAAAATATATATTTTACATCAAATAAAAAAATAATTTTTTAATAAATATTAATATACCTGTAAATGCTGTCAGGAGATCATAGCAGTTCACATCTGGATAACTACAGAGTATTTTCAAATATTTGGATGCTTCCAGCCTGCAATTGAAGCTCACAGCTTAGTAGAGAATGAAGTAGAAGAAAAATGGTGTGTTTGGATTCATACTTGATTAGGTTTGTTTCTTATTTCTTACCCTTTGGGATTGAACTCTGCAAGTCCTAGCAAATTGCTCAAGATCTAATCAAGGACAAATAAATTCATTAGATTAAGTAATCTAATTAATCAAAGAAAAAATTTTATAAGTATCTATATTTATAAGTAAGAATTATCCAAAATTTTAGTAAAAATTTTATGTAGGGATGTCTTAATATAATTTGTATCAAGATGAACCTTAAAACTCTTGGATTTACATTGAGATTATTGCTTGTACATGATTTCATGAAGTTTCCTAATCTCAATACAAATTCAAGAGCTTCTAATGATTCATTTGGGACGGTAGCAGCTTTTTGAAAGATACTATGGAAAATAGTTTCCTCGCACGAAAATTTATTGAAAGTAATGAAAAAGCAGTAACCAAATAAAAAATGTGTTGACATTTTGAAAAGCAAAGCAGTAAGAAAGCTATCTCAAATGAAGCCTTCATTTGCAACTGCTTTCTTTCTTATGCTTAAAGTCACTTTTTAGTACAAAAATTTTAATTTTTATACATGAAAGCTTCTTTAAGAAGCAATAAGAAAGCCATCCCAAACAAAACCTAAGGCTTCATCTAGGCCAACTTTCTTCTTGCTTTCCAGTTCAAACTTTTCTAAAATTTTTTGTACTAAAAGCTACTTTAGAAAGCAATAAGAAAGCTCAACCAAAGAATGAAGTCTAAGCCTTCGTTTGGGATGATTTTTTTTTTGCTTCTTTCGAAAACGATTTTCTATTATAAAAATTTCTAATTCACGAAATTTTTGTACTTAAAAGCTATTTTAGAAATTATCAAAAAAGCTATCCCAAATGAAGTCTAAATCTTCTCTAATGTAAATCACATCAATATTCATGAGCAAATTTTTTTTTAAAATTATGCATTAAATAAAGAGAATAATTACTAGTTGATAATTACCTCACCCACAAAGAGTCTGGCAGCCAGAATGCCTAATTTTGTTTTCATGTGATCAAGGTAGGCTATTGGACACAAAAGTGCTGCTGATCTTAGCTTGTCCACCAGCCTTCCTTCTGAGAAAGATGCCAAAGCAATGAGCGTTCCCTGCAATTATTTACAATCAGAAGCTTTGCACTATGTACAAAACTATAAATTTGGCTAAGTAAAGCTGATGAAGACAAAGAAGAAGAAGAAGAAGTTTCTTACACACCAAGGAGTGCCCAACATAGTGCAGCTTCTGCTTTGTCTGTTTGGCAACCAAGTCTACCATAGCTGGGAAATCATTCTCCACTAGTTCATCCCATGACCATGCCCAATAAGCCTATGAAGGATCAAATTAAGGCCAAAATTTTCATAAAAATATTAACATATGCACATATTAAGACTTCGTTTGGGACAGTTTTATTATTTTTCTTTCTTTTCGAATTGTAACTATAATTTCTATTTAGTTATTATTTTTCACCGTTTTTTTACTCACAATAGTTTAATTTATAATCAACTTTATAGAAAGCTGCAGTTATTCCAAACGGATGTTAAAAGCATGCATACTTCAAATATTTTATTATTATTGCACACAATTTTCATATGTAATATTATTTCTTTTTTTGAAGAATAAAAATATGTCATTACTTAGTTTTATGTTGCTTATTATGGTGTAGTTAATAGATATGTTGGAATGAGCACAGAGGGTTTGATATGAAAATATTGAAATGTTGCTGGACTTTAATCTTAATTATCCCAAAAGATTAATGAAGGATTAGAAGAGTTAAGTTAATCATGAGGGATTAGCCTAGTAATGGAAGTAGTTTAACTTTAAAGAGATCGTCATATATATATGTAAGGAAAAATGATTCAGGGTGGTAAATGAAAATTACACACCCGATCGGATGGCGTAAGAGACACGTGGCGATTGCTGGAGCGAGTGCCTCTAATATTACCGATCCACACATCAAATCCGTTATCGGCTAGCACAAAGGCCAGGGATTGCTCCGGAGAGTTCAATAGCCAGGTCATCCCATCCTGCAATTATAATATTTTACTTTCATAAATAAATAAATAAAATTATATTTTTAAGTAGCCAAAAAATATATAAATAAAAATAGTAATTTATTCTATTTATACATAAGAAAGTAAAACTCTAATTTATAACTTGTAATTAAAAAAAAAAAAAAGTTGTTACCCTTACAAATAAAATGCATATACTATTTTTTTAAAATAAAAAAACCAAATTTCAGAGAGCTTTAATAGAAATTGCCACCATTTTTATTCATAACAAGCAAAGGGAACATAAACTTTCTCTAATTTAAATGGCTTGGAAGCTTTGGCACTCTTGCATGTGGAATTCAAACATGCACATGCAAAGTTCGAATATAAGATGCGTCTGAATTTTGTGAGGATATATTATAAATACATAGCAAATATATAATATTTATAGACACTATATGTATTTACTGTGTACCTTCATAAATCTGGACGGCCTAAACTCCGCATGTATATATATATATATATACAAAAAGAGAGAAAGAGAGAAAGAGAGAGAGAATACAATCTTTTTTGAGGCTACGAAAAATAAAAGTGAAAGAGAAATAGCAAAAAGAAAAGTTTTACTAAAATTTTAGGTGAATATATTTATTGAGGGATACATGCATATATGAATTTCTAATAAATTATGTAAAAATTTATGCTATGCTAATTTATTAACATGACTATTTGTATTTAATTTCTACATTAATTAGTAGTAATAATAAGCGTCATATAACTAATTAATCTCCTCCTAACAAAATTTTAATTTATCATTCGCTCTTAATTTGGCTGTATATTTACCATAAGAACACCGTGTTGCAGCAATACTGGCTGCCTTGCCCCTCCAATAACTCCATTGCGCCCCACAGGTATCCTCTGCATGCCCAGTATGTAACCATCCTCAGTTGTCACCTATCTCCATAAATTTATCTAAATTAATCCACTTTTCTTCATAAAATCAACATAAATATGATCAGATTAATCGTTCATAATCAATATAACCTCAAACTCCTGGCATTTATACCCATATGGGCGCACCACAGCCTCGCAGATTCCTACTTCTTCAGGCGAAGGAGAGAATCCCCCCTCGCCATGGAAGAAGAAGAAGATGATGATGATGAAAGGAAGCTGAGAGTAATAGGAGAAGCTATGGAGAGCCATTGTTGCAGATCGAGAACTGGAACTGATAGTTCTGCATACTTATAGCAGAAGAGGAAGGCTGGGAAGTGGGTGGAGGGTTGCTTTCTTCATGAAGGAAAAGTAAGAGAAGCGAATGTGAACGGAAGACGCGATAGTGTTTTGCTAGTTTTGGCTTTTAGTTTTTCTGAGGGATAACAGATTCAAATCTTCGGCTTAATCAAAGGCTTCTTTTTGGAAATGGGTTGCTGAAGAGGTAACTCAAAGACTGTCCTTTTCCAATTTTTGCGTTTTATAACGCAGAAGGTGCGTTATGAGGAAGTTGGATATTAAAAACAAGGATAAGACACGGGAGGCGGTGGTGATGCTACGCAGCATGTATTTCATTTATTTATTCTTTTATAATTATTGTTGTTGTTGTTTTTTATTTATTCAAATTATTGTAGAAGAGAATTAGGGGTGAAACCGAGTCAAGCCCGCTCGCAAGCTGACTCGGGCTCGACTCGACAACAGGTTCGACGAGCCGAGCTAAATGAGCTCGCGAGTCGATCTCAAACACAGTTTTCGAGCTTGAATGCTTAACGAGCTCGAGCTCGAACAGGCATCCGACTCGACTCGTCGGCTCGACGAGCAGCTCGACTGGGCGGGATTCACGGGATCGAGCTCGGGACGACGACGGCGAATCAGATCTCGACGGCGGAGCTCACAACGGACGCGACGACGATGGCAAAGCTGGAAACGAACGTGATGACGACACCGAAGCTCGGAATGGACGCAACGAGATTGAGCTCGGAGCTCACAACGACGAAGCTCGGGACTACAGATTGGACGCGACGTCGACGACGACGAAGCTTGGAATATATGGACGATGACGACGACGAAGCTCGGAGATCAGAGCTCGATTGACCGCGTGACGACGACGACGGACGACGTCGTCGTTGGACACGACGATGAAGCTCGGAGCTCGATTGAACGCGCGAACAACGTGATGACGGACGACGTCGTCGTTGGACGCGACCTTGACATAGAACGCGACGACAAACCGCGAGTACGCGATGACGTCTGCACGACAGCGAAGGCGAGTACGCGACGACATTTTGAGCTCGAATATAGCTCAACGAGCCGCTATACAACGAAACGAGTCGAGCTCGAGCTCGGATTTTGAGCTCGACTCGAGTTCGAGCTCGAGCTCGGTATCTGAGAGTCGAGCTCGACTCGAATAACCCCTAGCTCGAGCTCGACTCGACTCGACTCGTTTTCACCCCTAAAGAGAATATTATTTCTCTTTATTTTTATATTAAAAATGATTTATAATATAATTAAAAATATGTTTAAATTAAATGAGTAGGTGGTTGGTAGAGTAGTTCAAATAAGTGGATCCTTTAAAGTCTAAATCTTTGAGCTTCTAAAGTGATAGTCAAAGAGAGAATAATCAAATTTCTCTCTTTTTTATGTTTTTATCTACAAATAGGAACCCTTTTTATACTAAAAGGATTGGGAATCTAATCTCATATATGATATGTGAAACTAAATAGTTAATTCTTATTCACATATGATGAAACATAAATTTAAATTAGATTCAAATTAATTTAAACTAATTCATATTTATCTGGATGAACCACTGATTCAGCATACTGATTGTGAAATACTATGTTTAATATTATTATCATATGCCCTAATAGAGACATCAAGTCATCGAAGAAATATTCTAAGCCAAATGACCTCCTATTTAGTTATAACATAGGCTTACCTTCCATTACGTGAGATGAGATATTATAATTGATATTAAAGCCTAACCTAGCTTACCCATATGATGAGTGCTTCGAGATAAACTAAGGCTTCATTTGGGTCTGCTTTCTTACTGCTTCTTAAAGGGGCTTTCTAGTTCAAAAATTAAAATTTTAATACTACAAAGCTGCTTTAAGAAGCAGCAAGAAAGCCGCCCCAAACGAAGCCGAAGTGGAAGTTGGACGGCTTGTGACATCCCAAATTCAAAGAGGGTGATGTCTACTGAGGATGATGCAGCATATGGAGCTAATCAAGAGAAGGGAGGTCCAATTACTAGATCAAAGGCCAAGAGGGCTTCACTAGATCCATATTTTCTTGTCATTAAAAATAATGATAATGATTGGGCATTATACTATAAGAAATCTATTTATCTCATTAAGAGCATTCCAATGCTATTGATAGTTTGTAAATTAAACACTTATTCGAGCCACAATAATTCTAAAAAGATATAGGAATTAGATTTAGCTCAATATGTTGATTTAAGGCATTGAGATGACATCAATCAACATATAATTGGTATCAATTATTAATAATATATTCATGCATGCACAAAGTGACATTTAATACATATATAATCATTGATGTAACACATATTATATTATTTTCTTAACACATCTGTCTTGCTTTAACATGGCTTAATATGTGTGTAAATGAGTTGAGTCGAGTCAAATAATTTCTTAATCTAGTCAAGCTCATTTAATTTTTTATTAAGCTGAAATTGGAGTTCGAGCTTGAGTGCAAAATATGAGGCTCAAGCTCGACATGAAAGTTTGAAATTGACTCATTTTGGAGCTTGTCTTTTTATTTTGAATATGGACAAAATATATTAATTAGAATAATATATTTGTTGTTGTGTTAATTAATATTAATGGATTTGGCTTGACAAACCGATTAGTCAAGCTAACCCAAGATCAAGCTTGAGCTTATGTAATATGCAGTACATGAGAAAGAAGGGTTTACCAGCAAAATAATTTCGCCGGAATTTTCGGCGGAATTATCAGTGGAATTTTTGTCAGAAATTTCCTGCGGATTTTTCCGATGATAATTCTGGAGGAATAATTTTGCCGGTAGTTAAGTGTTTCGGCGGAATATCCAGCAGATATTTTATTTCATTTCCGGCAAAAAAACTCCATAGAAATTCTACCAAAGAAAAGACACTATTTCGCCCCCAACAGCCTCTCTCTCTCTCTCTCTCCCAAATAGCTCTCTCGGTCTCTTCATCGACTGACATCGTTCAAGCTTGACCGTTTTGCTCTGTTTATTTGAGATTTTATGAGTAAATATTCATCTCTTTTATCATTTTCATTTTTTTTTTTATAGATTTCATCCCTTAAATTTTGTTAAAAATACTGGCTTTACATGGCTGAGTGGATTTTTGTGCTTAATACTATATGTATATTTAGTGCTACAAATCATAAAGAAATCATCAAGGCTTGCTGCATATTCTGTGAGGATAGCAGCATTTTTTTTCTGCAAAGGGATTGTTTGTTTGGAGCTTTTCAAAACAATGTAAACTAATTGATCAAATGTGTGCTTGTTTGACTGAAGTTTTCCTATATAAGAGTGGATTTTTCATGTCTGAGTTTTCTTATTTTCATTACAAGAATGGTGAGGCATAAGGATGGCCTGATATCCATCTGCTGGCAACTGATACTGTCATTTTTTCTTGCTTCGGCCTAAGAATTCGTTTGAGACAGCTTTCTTACTGCTTCTTAAAACAGCCTCTTAGTACAAAAGTTAACATTTTTATACTAGGAAGCTGTTTTAATAAGCAGTAAAAAAGTAGTCCCAAAGGAAGTCTAAGGCTTTGTTTGAGACGGTTTTCTTACTGCTTTTAAAGTGACTTTCTAGTACAAAATTTTTAATTATTGTACTAGGAAGTCGCTTTAAGAAGCGCGAAGAAAGCCGTCCCAAATGAAGCCTAAGTCTTCGTTTGTGATAGCTAGCTTTCGTATTGGTTTATAAAGCCGCTTTGTAGGACAAAAATATTTTGAAAAATAAAATTGTGTACTAAAAAATTGCTTAAAAAATAATAAAATAATGTCCCAAGCAAAACCTAAATTATCATTTTTAATGGAATTTTGGCCTTTGCTTCTAAATGTGGTTTAATTACTTTTATGACAAAATTTATTTTATTGTGAAAAATATATTTTTTTTTCTTTACCGAATTATGAAATTATTCTAATATATATTTTCAATTAATCATATTAATAGAAGTACTCCAAATTTTTATAAATTTGATAATGATTAAACTTATAGTAATAAAATTTTGATTTAATCTCTTTAAAATATCACCCAATTTTGAATTATCTCATAAATTATATTATTTATATTAATTTTAAATAACCACGAATAGCAAGAGACTCCGTGGCCCAATGGATAAGGCGCTGGTCTACGGAACCAGAGATTCTGGGTTCGATCCCCAGCGGAGTCGCATTAACTTGTTTATTTCTTTTTAATATACACAACATCAGAAAAATTATAAAATAAAAGTGGGCCCTGGCGGAGCTTTGTACTTCTCTTTTGGCTGCCGCCCGCTACATTATTATCTGAAAATATAAAATATTTTTTAGTAGAGACACATTAATTTTCTTCCACAGCAATAGTGCCACTTTTAATGTTTTATTACTTAAAAAAAATTGCGGTCTAAAATGAATATTTTAGAATTATTTGAATGAATGTAAAATAAATACATGAATGCAATTTAATGGAGGTGGTCAACAGCGGCGGAGGAGGCCGACATCAATGGCAATGGCGATACTTTATTATCTGAAAATATAAAATATTTTTTAGTAGAGACACATTAATTTTCTTCCACAGCAATTTGGCACTATGTTTTTATTTTAGGAGCACTTTTAATGTTTTATTACTTAAAAAAAAATTGCGGTCTAAAATGAATATTTTAGAATTATTTGAATGAATATAAAATAAATACATGAATGCAATTTAACGGAGGTGGTCGACAGTGTAGAAATGCATTCCCTCTCAGAATGCCGAACGGAGCAGATGAACAATAACCAAACTTGGTGATTTTATTATTTTCATTATTTGTTACAAATGGTGTAGACAAGTATATATAGATACCCATAGAAGGTATTACACGTGGAAGCAAGTGATTGGATTACAAGATTGATTAAAGTAATAACTAATAATGTCTTAACATTCCCCCTCAAACTGATGATCGGGGACCAATAGTCAGTTTGTATCTCAACAATTTGAACCGAGAGGTGGCTAATGAGGTGGCTAATGGTTTCGTTAAAATGTCGGCGAGCTGATCAACCGTGCTTATCGGTAGCAACCGAATTGTATTGTTCATTATATGCTCGCGCACAAATCGTTGATCAATTTCTATATGTTTCGTTCTAGCGTGAAAGACAGGATTATTCGCTAGAGCAATTGTGGAGGTGTTATCATAAAATACATCAACCGGATGCTTGTGATCAATGCTGAAGTCTTTTAGAAGGCGTTTGATCCATATAGTGTCGGCAGTAGCGGATGCTAGTGCTCGATATTCAGATTCTGTGGAGGATCTAGAAACAGTGTTTTGTTTCTTAACGGTCCACGATACAAGTGTGTCTCCGAGAAAGGTACAAAAGCCGGTTGTAGATTTGCGGGTAACTGGATCCGAGGCCCAGTCAGCATCAGAATATGTCCGAAGCTGAAGACTGGAGCGGGAAATAGGTAAACCGAACTCAAGTGTGCCTTTAATGTATCGAAGAAGTTTCTTTAGCATAGTTGTGTGAACGACTTCGGGTTTATGCATGTGCTGAGACAATACATTCACTGCGTAGGCGATGTCTGGTCTTGTTAGGGTCAGGTATTGTAGAGATCCAATGATCTTCCGGTAGAGAAGATCGTCGAAACAGGGTACATCTTCCAAGTGCTGATCTGGAATTTTTGAAAAACAAGGATTAGCGACCGAGTTTCATTTGTGCAACTCGGCAATTTGAAGAATTGAGTTGGCGTAATTAGTTTGAGATAGAGGTACGTATCTGGAGTGGAGTCAATCTTAATGTCGAGGAATTGATGTGCTAAACCAAGATCTTTCATGGTGATTTTGTGTTTCATTTGCTCTATGAGATCCTTCATTTTATTGTTGTCGTTCCCGGTAATAAGAATGTCATCCACATAAACCAATAGATAGATTTGTAATTTATCGCAGTGCAGAATCAGCAGTGACGGATCGGACTGACTGTGCTGGAATCCGATTTGAAGTAGATAGTTTGTAAATGTCGTGTACCATTGTCTTGGTGCTTGCCGAAGCCCGTAAATGGCCTTCCGAAGACGACAGACATGTGTGGGTTGTGCTGAATCTTCAAATCCCTTAGGTTGTCTCATATAGACAGTCTCGTTGATGTCACCGTGCAAAAACGCATTTGCGACGTCGAGTTGATGAACATTCCAGCTGTGAAACAGAGCTATTGTAAACAAAATTCTTATGGTGGGTAGCTTGGATACCGGGCAAAAGGTTTCCTGGTAATCCAATCCGAATTCTTGTTGATTTCCTTGAGCGACGAGACGGGCTTTGAATCTTGCAACGGATCCATCAGAATTATACTTGGTTCTGTAAGTCCATTTCGATCCAAGTACTGAGCCTGAGATCGGAGGTGGGACTAGTTCCCAAGTGCCTTGCTTTTGTAAAGCAAAAAATTCGTCGGCCATGGCTCTTCGCCATTTGAAATGCTTGCTGGCCTCAGTGTATGTCGTGGGATCCTGTTGGGATTGTTCAGTGTGAATGAGATTGAGTCTGTTTACCGGTTTTAGGTGGCCTGTCCGAGCTCGAGTGGTCATTGGGTGCTTGACAGGCAGAGAGGGATCCGCAGAGTTAACCGAAGTATGAGCAACGTCCTGTTCACAAACAGCATGTTCATTAGATGAGTTGCCAGTATTGGTGAGAACAGGAGATTGTGTAGTGTTCTGTTGTTGACTGGTAGACAGTTGTTGAGTAAGTGCTGATGCAGGAACGAGCAGAGGATATGGAATGGGAGTTGTATTTTGTGGTTCCTGCATGCACCTGATTTTAAACGGAAACAATGATTCGTTAAATTGAACATGTCTGGAAATAAAAATTCTATGAGTGAACAAATTTAGACATTTATATCCTTTCATAGTGTCGGCGTATCCAAGAAATACACACGCCTCCGACGTGGGAGTAAGCTTGGTACGATGAGTTTGCGAGGATAACGGGTAGCATTCACATCCGAAAATTCGAAGATGCTCGTATGACAGTTTAATATTGAACATTCTTTGAATCGGAGTGATGTATTTGGTTGTAGCTGACGGCATCCGGTTAATGAGATAGGTGGCTATGGAGGCGGCTTCAAGCCAATATGACATAGGTAGACCAGCCGTGTGGAGAAGTGTTCTTGTCGTCGTGATAATGTGACGGTGCTTTCGCTCCGCAATCCCATTTTGCTCCGGTGTATATGGACACGAGGTTTGGTGCAAAATTCCGACAGCCTTGGTAAACGATTGAAATTGCTGATTTACGAACTCTCCACCGCCATCCGTCCTGATTACTTTAAGCTTACGGTTTGTTTGTCTTTCAATGAATGTAACAAATTGCTTAAAAGTATTAAAGACATCATATTTCAACATTAACAGAAATAACCAAACAAAGCGCGAGTAATCGTCAACAAAGATTAGGTAATATCTAAATCCTTGATGAGAGGGAACCGGAGACGGTCCCCAAACATCGGAATGAACAAGTTCTAATGGTGCATGAGTTACAGTGCGAGAAAGATCAAACGGAATTTTATGTCCTTTACAGGTCAAACAAGAAACACATTTTGAATTGTTGTTATGAATATGCAGCTCGGGATTACTGCTTGATATGGATTGAAGCACCCTTTGATGGGGATGGCCCAATCTGCCATGCCAGACTGCGGAGGACGTCCAAGTTGCCGAGAGAGCAGTTGCGGAAGTCTGCTGCGTCTTCGTGTGGATCTTATACAACCCGTTATTGCAGGGTCCTGTAAGAAGAACCTGGTTGTTCGTCCGATCCTTAAAAACAAACCCATTAGCATCAAAAGTGATGGAAATAGGATTATCTTTGACGAGATTAGAAATAGAGAGCAAATTATGCGAAATCGACGGAATATGTAAAATACGAGAAAGTAATAGCTTACTGTCCAGGGTTGGAAGGATACCCTTTCCCGTATGGGTGATAGGAATGGACCTTCCGTCCCCGACGGTGACCACATCGTTGCCATTGTAAGGTTGATATTGAGCAAGATTGTCAGTCGAGTTCGTCATGTGAGAGGAAGCACCCGAATCAATGAACCAATCTGTGCCCAGATTCCCTTCGGTATGGGTAAGAAGAGCGTTGGTGTTCTTGGACGATTTCTGTTGCGGAATGTAGTTAGCATTAAGGCGATGCCAACATGTGTCCGCTTCATGACCCTTCATTTTGCAAATTTGACAAATAGATGCAAGAAGTTGAGAGTTTCTGGATGCTGTAGAGGTATCGAGTTGCTGTCGTGTTTTACCGCGACGTCCTCTGCCCCTGACAGTGTAGAGAGCCGATTGAGTATCTGGTGGACGGGCGAATTTTAGAGCCGATGATTTGAAGTGAATCTCTTCGCTGATTAGAAGAGCGTAAAGATTGTCCAACGTCATCGTGCTCTGCATCGTTCGAATTGTAGTCGTAAATGACTGATAAGCCGACGGGAGACCGTTCAAGATGTAGATGATGACATCTTCCGGATCAACAGAGGATCCAGCCTATGATATTTGGTCTACGATCTTTTTGATTTCGGTCAAGTACTGCGTCATCGTCATGTTATGCATCGAAATGTTGTGGAGCTCATTTTTGAGCTGAATTACTTTGGACCTATTAGATGACTGAAATCTTGTGTGAAGGGTTGCCCAGATTTCTTAAGTTGAGTCAAGATGAATAACATAAGGCAACACTTCGGCAGAGATAGTCGAACACATTGCGGTGGCAAGGTTTTGATCAATAACCAGCCATTGAGCGTCATCTTGATTTGGATCGCGATTCTCTGTGCCCGATTTGAGATCAAGAAATGCCGCGAAGCCGTTAGCCTTGAATAATTTGGCTATTTGTGTGCTCCAAATGGGAAAATTGTCCGGTGTGAGAGAATGAGGAACAAGAAACTTTAAATTGGAGATAACGAACTTGAGAGATTGCGAGATGGTCGGAGCCGGCGATTGTAGGCCTGGCGTTGCCGACGTCGACGAGGAAGAGGCGGAAGCTTGATGTGTCATGGCTGTTGGCTCAGAATCTTGCTTCTCTTGATACCATGTAGAAATACATTCCTTCTAAGAATGCCGAACAGAGACGATGAACAGTAAACAAACTCAGTGATTTTATTATGTTTTCATCTGTTACAAATGGAGTAGACAAGTATATATAGACACCTATAGAGTGTAGGACACGTGGAAGCAAGTAATTGGAGTACAAGATTAATTAAAGAGTAACTAATACTGTCTTAACAAAAGCTCTGTGGTGAGGGCAATAACGGCAACGCCTTTGTCTTCCCTTCACATCTCTGCTGAGCCCTGGCAGACCTACCGGAACAAACTAAACTAAAACAAACTCAAGGTTCAAACACTGAAGCTTTCCTCAATCAGTGGAGAGATTATTTTGTGCAGATATCGGACCGCTTGATACCGAATAGTATCGAGCGTCGGTACCGCTCGGTATCGCGCTTGGTACGAGTGCGGTACACTTTTGAAGTGACGTGGCACATTTTATTGGTCTCTGGACGAAGTCCGGACTCCGCAGAGAATAATTTGTCCAATTCGTGAACTGATACTAAGAACCCATGAGATGATGACTGAGAGCATCATATGTGCCATAACCGGCAAAAGCAATCCCAACAAGAAGTATAAGATAATCTACTGCCCTCTGCCAGAGCTTCAGCTTGGATCCCAAGAGCAAAAGATGGAATGTGGCCGGCAAGACGAAAGCAAGCATGGCGCTAACTGTACTACCCACAAGAGAAATGAAAGCCCCAAAACCGGGAATGCAGGAAGCTACGGTGGTGATTATCAGAAGCACTAGCATACGAGCTCCGTGAAGGCCAAGGCGCTCACCGTGGGCATTGCAACAGAACTTCTGCGACCATCCGCTTGAAGCCAGCTTCATCTCTATAATCTCGTAAATTGGATGCAGGATGATTGGAAATGTGAATGCTAGAGCTATACAGAGTCCAACCTGTTACAGAGTTCGTTTAGTTAGAAAAGTTGCGGAAGGTTTGTTGTCGGGAGAAATAGTCTAAAGATAAACCATTATCTGTTTAAACTAGAACATCCATAGAAGCAATCACATTCATCACAAGCTGGTAATTTTAGATCCAGAGAAATCACATTCGGGAGTCCAAAACATTCTGATTCTAGCAGAAGCAAAATGATGCAGATCTATCTACACCATTCATCCAAATTCACTACATCATCATCTAGAGAGGAAGAGAGAGAGCGAAATATATCTATAATATTAGTTAACCCCACACTCCATTCATCATATAACATAGATTTTGAATGCCAAGATTTGAAAGAACAGCACCTTATATAAAACTTTCAATCTAAGCATTCAAGATTTGTTAAGGTAAAAAAAGTAAGTCTATCATTCTTCTTAACCTCACACACATATATTGGAGAGATAGGACACAATTTTCTTTCACAGTCTATCACAAATTTTGAATTATTAGAATTTGCAGTGACAAAAGGACATATTTTAGCTACTTTAAATCTAAGCATTCAAAATTTATGCAAGTAAATTGATTTATTGTACATGAAACTAAAGGTACGACTGAATATGGACTGAATTCAAATATATTTAAAAGCTAATTATAACATCATACATATCATTACTTTAAATTTGAATATAAAACATGATGCAATTCTAATTTTTAGAATTAGAGTTCAAACACATTTAAAAGCTAATTCTCATATCATAAGACCGTTACTTTCAAATTTGATTATAATATATAATGTAATTTTAAATTTGAATCAACTACTTTAATTCATATTTAATTATTCCATCACGCATGTAAATATTTTAAATAAAAGTCAAATTGAAAATTATAACTATTTAATTTCTAGTAAATAAAGCAAGCCAGTTATTTTAGTTATATATATATATATATATTAAACACTAGTTTTATTTTTATTTAAATATATTCGATCAAATTTTAATAATTTTAAATCAAGTCAAGGCCTTATATAAAAACAATAACTAAATAAAACAAAATTAACCATAATTAAAAAATAATATTTTAAACTAAGTAAACTCATTATAAATTATTTTAAAAGAATTTTAAGTGAACTAGATTAATTAGAAACATTTCATATAAAACAATTTGTTATATCCTTCATTGCGCACCTATTATGCTTCTACTGCTTTTAATAGGTCATCATTAATACTTAGTGGGCCTCCCTAACTTAAGAGTCGTCGTAAAATTCTTCACTGATCTCCACTAAGGGGGTGAAAGCATAGTATATAGGCCTCAATTTTACAGGTCACTATTATAGCTTAGCAGTCCACTAAGTTAATGAGTCTTAGTACAAAAATTAAAATTTTTATACTAGAAAGCCTAAGAAAACCACTTTAAGAAGCATTAAAAAATCCGTCCCAAACGAAACCTAAGTGTTAGAGTAAAATTTTCAAGGGGATTAGATAAACAGCAAAAGAATATTTGTGATGAATAGCCAGTTTGACAATTTTTGAGCTTGTTCTTCTTGTCCAATAAAATTGTTAAAAGCAAGTTCTCATGAAATCTGAAGGTCTGAAAAACTAGCCATGATCACCACAGGTTTTGGTAGTTGTTAACATAGAATAACTATGAAATTGCTAAGGATAAGTATGTAATGAACTTTTCAAAATATGCTTATGAGAGGATTATAAGGCATTTGTTTCTGCAATTAAAACTTTGAAATTGGATGCAAAATAAGGTAGAGAATCACAAAGCAATGACTAAGATAAGCTCAAATTATTGTGTTAATTGCATCCTAATGGGATAACTGAAGAGGAACAAGTAATGAAATACTCATTTGCTATTTTTGTGGTGCGGTTTACCAATAATTTAGGAAGGCCATCTCAGTTCACTTCATTTGATCAAATTCAGCAGAGTTATCATCAAAATGTAGTAAAGAAGTATATCCAAGATGTCTATATGCCAACAAAAGCAGCACATGACATTGCTCAAACTGGTTCGAGAAAGCATTCGACATTTAAGAAATATTTCAAAATGATTTGAAATCAATCCACTAAATGATATCTGTGATTTTGATAACAGCAGTGAAAATTGAGGCTTCGTTTGGGACGGTTTTTTTATTGCTTCTTAAAGCAACTTTTTAGTATAAAAATTTTAATTTTTGTACTAAAAAGCGACTTTAAGAAGCAAAATAAAAGCCGTCCCAAATGAAGCCTGAGACTCTGAAAAGATAGTAATATAAAAATATTAGGGAGTGAAGCATGACAAATATTTCATAAGGCCGTCATTTGTTCTACATTTGTAATGGTATATCAGTTAATATCCATAATATTTGGCACTAGGAATTGAGAAGAGTGAATGATCAATTGGAAATATAAATTAATTGTCAGGAATTCAGCACTCAAAACAGTCAAACAATTTTTTGTTTTCAGTTCAAAACTGATATAGACACCTCAAACATACTATGGTAATCCAAATTGATCAACAAAGAGTATTAGCATGAAAATTATTAAGCACTAGCCAAGTCCCATTTTGATTTCAAATAAAGATATTTATATTAGTAATAGAAATTCGCAGGCTGGTCTCATTTGATATCAAGAGGAGAAATTGTTCATATAAGAAATTCGCAGGCTGGTCTCATAGTCCAGTATTTAATACGAACACAAGTATAACATTGTACAGTGTGCAGCAAAATGTCTAATAATATAAAACCCCTAAGAATAGAAAACCATGCAAATCACCAATACTGTGTAGGTTGTATGCAACATATGCAATAACAGATGATATAATCACACTATTAGGACTCTAAACTTTTCAAACACAATTCACTCAGAGCAAATTTATAAGTGAACATCATTCTACGTATGAAAGAGACTTATAATTAATGAGATTTTAGATATCTAAATAACCTTAGAATGCTACACGTTGATCAACACCAAAAAATCGCCACCAACAATCATCGTCTATTGACCATCATAATAGCCTGATTGTTGTTGCCTGACCGCCATTGCCAGACAGCGGCCAATCAGTTGTTGTTGCTCGATTATCGACCTCCATCACCTTCTGATAATCGGCATGGATATGCACCATCACCCAGTTTATCATCTCTCAATGCCAAAATTCATCGTCACTCGATGAAAGTCTCCTGACCACCGCCAACATTCATCATCAGTTAACAAAAGTCTATTGACTTCATTTTCAACAAACTAATACAAACCTAAAGACACCGAAAGTGTTTTAATCGAAGTCCATAAGGCTTTAAATCGAGCACTCGAAAGCATAGATCAAAATATTACGACACTATTTGAAAGATCAAACGATCTTTGAATATTAAGTGTTTATAATCATAAAAAGCATCTCAATTAGAGGAATCCAATGAGCCAAATATTCATCTAATTCTGATGGATGGCATTAAAGCACCTAAATGCCTAAAGGCTTTTGTAAGGGAATCGATGCAAGCCATCCGTTGAAGTGTTTGTAGATTCTGGCTGAAAAAACTAAAATATTACTAAAAAACTATCAATCTATAATTAAAGAGGTCTTAGACATCTAAATAATCTTAGAGCATTTTTCCCATTCATTGAAAATAGCTATTACCTTCAGCAGCCGTAATATATTGGCCATCATCTCCTTATTGTTGTTGTTCAATAGTCATTATTTGATCATTGCCACACAACAATCATCGCTCAATCACTGACCACCATCACCTTATGATAACCAAAGCAAACATCCGTCGTCAACCTCATTCAACTATTGCCTCCTAACACCAACATTCATTGTCACTCAATGAATGTCTACTAACAATTGCCGCCGACAATCAATTGACATCAACGACCATCATCACTTGACCGTCTTAGCCATCCACTTAATGGCATTGACATCCATCACCCCTCATGGCTTCTCCAATACTCACATAGGCCGAGCCAACAATCCATATTTCGTATCTCATCTTCTCTCAATAAGGGAAGGGAAAACTTCTGTAATGTTCATCTACATGCTAGATTTTTTTTTTCGATTGGATTAGACCTCATGCTTTTTTTCTTTCTTGGATTTCCCATGTAAAAACTTTTATATCTCCTATAAGCTTCTCTTATATGCGTATGTGAAGATCTTTATGCAATGTCACAAAGCAAAAATTTCACTATTTTATCATAAATTTATCATCATACAATAGTCTGATTGTCCGTAATTTACAAGTGAACGATAGTTACACTCAACCTTGATTATGTATTAGCAAGAACAATGCAAATTAATTGCTTACTAGGGGTGTAATTTGGGTCTAGTCGAGTCGAATGTTTGTCTAATCGAGCTGAGCTCATTTAATTCTTATTGAGCTCAAGCTCAACTCCTAAGCTCAAACTAGGCTTGTTTAAAAACTTTTAGGCTACAACTCTTATGGAAAGCTCAAGTTTAACTCAATTGTTCAGCTTGATTTCTTAGTTTTAAATTAAAATTTTAAATTTTTTTAAAAAAATAAATATATTTGCTATACAAATAAAATAATGGGAGTATATAGAATAATTTAAAATATTTAAAATATATATATAATGCCAATTTAAAATTAATTTTTAAATATGTTTTATGTTAATCAAGTGGCTAGACGAGCTTAAGAGCCCAGCTAGGTTGAGCTCGAGCTTGAGCATAGGTTCAACCATGAATTCGTGGCTTGATAAGCTCGACTCATGATTTTGTTAATGAGTTGAATTCGAGCCAACTTGGCTCTCGCTTACACCTCCAATGCTTACCAAAAATTACATAAAAATATACTTTATCAGACATTGTTAAAAAAATGAGAGAAGAATTATTCATGTTAGGGGTGTCAAAATGGGTCAACAGGTCACGTTCATGTCCAACCCAAAATTGATATGACCCAAATCCTGTCAATCCGAACGACCCATTTAATAAACGGGTCAAAATAGTGAACCCAAACTTGACTTGCTAGCAACCCGAGCCAGACCTAATAACACGTTTTAATTAAAAAAATATTTTTATTAACATGTTAACTATAGATTTTAAACTAATTGATTAAAAAACAAGAAGATTATACTAATAAATAAAAAAAATTAAAGAATAAAATTAAACGGGTCATTTTTGGGTCAAAATCCGGTTGGAATGTCAACTTGAATCCGAACCCTTTAATAAATCAGTCTGAATGCACTACCTGAACTAGACTTGTTTATAAAGCATGTCAATCCGAACCCGAAATTTTGGGTCAGGTCTGGGATAGGTTGGCGGGTTTGGTTATTTATTGAAATTACTACTTGATGTGCACAATTTAAGTAAAAAAGAAATTTTCTTGTTGGAGAGATTATAGACATAAAAAACCACCTCTAAGAAAACAATCAAGCACCAGCTTAGGTTACAACAAAGCATTTGCAATACATCCCAAACCCTCGATTAAATGCAACCAATTACTCTACAAACAAATTTGAAGAAGTATGTTATAATAATTCATTTGAGCAAGTTATGGTTAGAAAAAATGCCTAATGAGACATGATACCAGCTCCAAATATATCAATAAGGATTTTGTCATTTGTCATAAGCATTTCAGTTTGAACATGGAGTAAAAGGTAAAAGAAAGAAAAGCTTGATGTAATTTGGTGTAAGATAAATTTAAGAATTCTATACTAAACCTAACAATCAAATGGTATTTTTGTGCATTTTACATTAACCTCTTCAACAATCAACCAAATAAGCTCTAAATTGATTGGATTAAGATTTTGTTTACCAAAAATAAATGCAGTAATTTGACAGCAAATCAAATACACAAAAATAATACTTTGGGCCTGCTTGGTTTGAAGGAATTTGAGGGAATGCAAATTCACTTCACTTCACAATTTAATTTTGGATGTTTGGTTTCTATGTAATTACAAAGTAATTGGAATTACTTAATCAAATCTAGTGAAAACAAGGATGAAAAAGTTATCGGATCATCATTGTGACTCAATTGTCCCCATCTCACAAGCAGTAAAAAAGCTGGGCTTTTTATCAACCAAACAAGAAAAAAAAATGTTTTGTTCAACTTCACCTTAACCAATCAAGTGAGTGAAAACTACAACCAACTCAATCATATCCATTTCCATTTCCTATTCATTTCCTCTCCCTTTATTTAAACCAAACAGAGTATTTGTGCATTATATTTAATGTCCACCTTTTTGCAGCAAGGTAAACAGTTCTTAGAGCTTACTTTGCAACCCAATTTTCCTCTTCATAAATGCCAAAAGTTAGTACTTTGCTATAACTACATTGAGAAAACTCATCTCACTTAACAGGAGAACTTAGGGCTCAAACTTACAGACTTAAAGAAGTTAAAAAGACAAAAGAGTACTCAGCATTTGCTTCCTTCTTCCTTGTGTTCTAGAAGATATCAATCACAACCATTTAAACTTCCGTCGGTTAGTTAAAAAGAAAGAAACAATGAAAGCCAATTTGCCAAAAGCATTGAAACTTTCCATGTCATGAGCATATCACCAACCCAAAAGCAAAAGATCAAACAAATAAAACCCTTTTCTCCCAAACGAAAATAAGACTATGAACTCACCACATCAAAAGCTCAGAAACACAAAAAACGAAGTCGGTTGAGAGAGAAGATCATACCAAAATCTGGACTCATAACACCGAACATATTTACAGGGTTTTCCTCATTTAAAGCCTTCTCCTTTATGGGAGATGGGATAGAAACATCCTTGGCCTTAAAGCACACACCATTTGAAGCTTTTGCAGTGGAATCTACCTTCTTCTGAGCTGAAGAACAAGTTCCCATGGCTACTAGGCAGCAACACTTCCCATCTCTGAGAAAAGTAAATGGTTAGAAGCTTTATTCTTTAAAAGGTCTTCGGAAAGCCTCGAAGTGTAGAAGGAGAGAGGAGAATCCCTGGTAAGAAAAATTTGCGAGGGGAAACAAGGAGATGGGGTGCCCTTGCAAGTGAAATGACACAGAGAGAGTGTCCTATATGCAACTATGGGTCCCAAGCATTTAAGCTTGGTACCATTATCCATGTGCACTAATGGTTTTTATGATTCTTCGTATGGTGATTCTCCCATGCATTCAAACCTCCAAGCCTCTTCTAACTTTATTTTGAATTTTGCTGATGCTTGTAACTGCGTCAGTGAAAGTATTACAGTACTTTTGGTTTGTCTTTTAGGGGTGTGTAAGGTAAAGCTACCATCTTTATTTCTATTGAGATGGGGCTGTTCCATCAAATGAGTAGTGGATGATAATTGAAAGGAAATATTATTATTATTATTATTTTGGGGGAGTTTAGGGGCTTTGAACGTGAGTCTCGCTGGAGGAATTCCTTCGCGTCAACCAACAGGGCTGCACGTGCGAGCTCAAGGAAAAATTATTGTGCAGAGTCCATATTCTAATAAAATGCGTCACGTTTGATACTGAGCGGTACCGCGGCTAGGTACCTCTCCGTACCTAAGCGTAAACCGGACGATTCTCCCATCCGGTGTCCGCACAGAATAATATCTCAATTGAAAGAGTTGCTATTTTTTTAGAACGGTATCCACCCGCCGCCATCTCCGAAAGATTGTTTGGCGGCGTGACTAATCATCGTCTGACCTAGAAGAGACACCAACCCGAGAAATCTCCTGACTCGTACTTGATTGGACCCCACTTAAGAGGCACTGCCGCTGAGGGGAATCGAGCACGGCTTATAAGTTCGCAACCATACTCGCCCACCAACCAAACTAAACAACGGTGCGTGAGTTGCTACTCTTTTTACAAGCCAAGATTTTACTAAATGATTAGAATAAAAATGCACTGTTTTCTAAGTTGCAATTTGGCTATTTACATTGTATTCAAAAGGTCTTAAGCATTAATCTTGCTTAGAGCCATGTGAAGGATTATTTAACCAAGATTCCCAGCATATTTCTTTACTGTTTGGCTTCGAAAATTGCGGCAATAATCACTTTAAAAATCGCGGAAACATTTTATCTTTCTTTATCAATGGATATATACTTTCAAAAGGCACAGAACTTTTTTTTTTTTTAGTACAGTCTAAATATATTATTAGATATGAAAGATCTTGATTCTTAGTAGCTGAAGGGTTAATATTGGACCTAATTGGATTCTCACATAATTTCTTTTCTTAGGTAATTAAATTAACTTTGACCTAATACAAATAATTATATTTCTTTTAATTTTAAAACTTAGAATTCTGGGCAATGACTAATCATTTGATATTTTTATCATAATATATTTGTCAAATGTCTCATATGTGAATAAAAATGATACTCGTAGATGGCTTAAATAATTCATTTAATTTTGAAAATTTGTCGTAAGTCTCATAAGCCTCTTTATTAGGGGAAATTATTGTGTCCGGTGTCCGGATTCGTCCGGACACCAATCCAGACGCGCCACATCAACAAAATATATCGGGCCCCAATGTATTTGAGTGACGTGGCGCATCCGGATTGGTTGTTTGGATGTCAGGTGACCAGATGCAATAATTCGCCCTTTATTAGACACGTGAAGAAGTCACCGGTGTGAGACATTTGGTAATAGCTTAAAAATTTTTTTTTCTCGCATCAATAAAAGTCTAAATCATAAATCATGATATTATAGTATTTTAATTATGCAATTTTTTTATAATTATTTTTGAAGTTCTAAAAAAATTTAAATGAATTCTATACTGAAAAAAGATTAAATTAAATTATTATTATTATTGTATTGTTATTATTATATTATAAAGATCCTAATTAACATAAGTTTTTCTTTTATTCAATCGGCCAAACAGAGAATGAGTTATGGAAATTAAGAGTGCGAGGAGAGAGAAAAAGAAAATTCAGAATTGGAGGTTATGGAGCGATTTTTGGCAGTCGATCATGTTGGAAAATTCACTCACCTTGTTATAAGGAACCTAAATCCTATTTCTAATTTCAGTAATTTTGTTTTTTTAGTGTTTTTTCATTTAAATTTATATTTTTGCTATCGAAAAGCGAAAATAATTTTGTATTGATAAAACAAATATGAGTAACTTTTTATATGTTATAGAGATTGAGATTATGAATGTTTTGAATATTTATTTGAGATTTTTCACCGGATGATTTTAAAAATACAACGATTTTTTCATACTAAGAATTTTTTTTTTTTACATCTAAATATAGTAATTTAGATCAGCTAAAGTTTTAGAATGTCATTTTATGCAATATCTAATAGTTTGGTTAAATTCTAAAAATATGAATTTTTGCTCAGTATGATTTTGTTGTCTACCGTTAGGACATTTTGACACTTTCTGAATTAAGCTTAATTACGTTTTATTTGCTGTAATGTATTGGAAATGAATGTAGATGTATGATTGAGATGATTGTTATATTATTGTGATAATGATGTGTTTGTAAAAGACAAGTAAAGACTGATTGTTATTTTGGTTGGAGACTGATTAACATGTACATGATGGCGGCTCGATGGACTTTTCTTTAAATTATGTGATTTTGTGTTATATTCTCTACTAATTCACGTGATATTGATTAGGAGTTATAAGGAGATGATTATATACTATGCTAATAGACAAAGAGTACTGACAATATTTACTGAGCCAATAATTTACTAACACTGATATAATAATGAAAAACACAGTGATAGCTAGAATTCTTACTTGTTTGGTGTGAATACAAAAATAAATATTATTGAGGCACTATTTATATTACTGTACGAATTTATTATTAACACTGTTGTTGATTTATTGATATAAAAAAGCATAATATATACATTGAGCAGTGATAGATATGATATATCGAGTGTAATAAAGATATTAATTTAATATTAATATAGAATAATTGGATAGTATGTGTACACTTCTATATGATTTTACTACATTAATTGATTTCGATAATCTTTATAGATAATTTGATTTTATTACTTTATATGATTTATTTACTGATTGTAGTATTGATACGACAATTGATTTATTGATTTGACACTCATATTGATATATTATTTTTTATATTTTATAATTTTACTATTTATGCACTGATTCAATAATCATATGAATGCAACTGCTATGATATGACTGTTAACATACATATTACTCAGTTATCTTGTGTTTAGTTTAGTTGTATGTTTTGGTGACTTGCTGAGCTTTTTAGATCATTATATGTGATTAAATATTTTTAGGTCAGGGAAAGGGAGCAAGAGTAGGATATTGATTAGATATCTTCAAGTTATGTTCCTTTTTTGTTTTAGTTATTCTTTTATACTCATGACAAGAGTAGTTGTGATACAATTGTATATATCATGTGTAGTATATATGATTTTTGAAAAATAAATACAAATGTATATATTAATGTTTTGATCGATGGTTTTACTTTTGCAGCTATTTTGATTGAGCAAAAAAAATTAGATATCTCTGATTGTATAAATTAAAAGATAAAAAATAATTTCTTCAAAATTAGATTACGGGGCATCACATATTTTGATTTACAAAGTAAACATCAAGCCTTTGTCCCACTATGTAGGGTCAGCTAAATGAATCCTTTTTCGCCATTGTGTCCTATTAAAAGTCTTGAAAAGGCTTAGGAAGAATTATTATATTGTCTTGACAACATCTTAGATTATTATCGATCATTATAGTTCATCTCAGGAGAACCTTAAGTGTTGATTTTAATTATTTTTATTACAAACATGTTAAAGAAGACAAAATATGAATAAGAAATATGCTATGATTGGCATATGTAATACAAGAAAAAAGACTCTCAAGTCCAAATGTTTTAATCTTTATTGTAAATACAATAATAATGACTCATTTGTCACTCTATTGTAGCTAATCATAGTACTTCCTTAGAGAAGACTCATTGTACTCATCAAGACATTTTGACTTGTGTCAAAGTAGATGTAGATCATATAAGTGAATCATTCTAATTTTTCATTTACTTAATTATTTGGTTGTGATATTTTTCTTAATTACCTCTTGTTGAGTAACCTAGCCATAGTTCTTTCCTAATTTCAAAACCTCAATATGCATACTTGTCTTATCTTAGAATATTAGCATATTTCCACAATTTATATTTGTGCATCCTACTTGCCCTCTTAATAATTTTAATTTCACCTTTTTTTGAAAATAAATTTATATTTGATCTTGATGTAGAATTTTGTTGTATAAATTCAATGACATTGCATATGACTTTGATGTTTGCTTTTGAAGTAATAAAGTTTCCACATTCATGTAAGCATATTTTTGAATTTAAGATAATTGTATGAGCTTGATGCTTGTTTTCATTGAAAGTGAACTTGTCCCCTTTACAACTTTTAGTCTTATGAGATTTTTAAATAATCAAAGAAATATGTATCTTTTGAGACTTTTAGCCTTCTAAGATTTTTATGGATTATGCTTTAACCTTTTAAGGTCTTATGTATGTCTGAGCCTTTTGAGAGTTTTAACCTTCTAAGATCTTTGAATGTTCCTATACTTTTTGAGGGTTCTTTAACCTTTTAAGATATTTAATGTTCATGTGCTGTTTGAGATTTGTTAACCTTCTAAGGTTTTTGAGTGATGACTCTGTTAATAACTTGTTATTATGGAGTCTGTCTAGTGAGGACCATGTCTATTGTTAGCTTTCCTTTGAGGCTACCTCATAGACGAGACTTTTTTTGGGGTTATTTTTTAAAGCATACTTTGTATTTAAAAGGTTGAGAGAATTCACCAAGGATATAAGACATATTCGATGATTTTTGTCTGAGTATTGCTCAATGATGTTAACCTGAATAGAAGAGGCTGAGAGAATCTACTAACAATGTATAACTTATCTGAGGATATT